TTACTGATATTTGCGCTCTCTCTCGGCGTATTGGTTTTTTCGAACCGGTTTTTATATAAATGTCTTTACAGCAAACCTGGAAAAGAAAAATTAAACTAAGATAAAGAAGATGTATGCCACCAGTTACTGGTATACTTTTAGTAGTTTATTAAAGTACCTAATAAAGGTATAGTTAAATAATTTATACAGGGTGTAAGAAGATTGACTGCCATTACTTCAGCATGAGATAGAGTAATATAGTATTAGGGAGTTTTATCACAACGTGACAACAGCGCTTAACCTAACGCTACACAGCTGATGCAAACCACGTGTGCACGCGACAGACTTGTTCTTTGACACTCGCTGGAAAACACCTCAAGAAAAGGAAATAGTGGTACGCAAAAAAACACTCAGACACGGTCCAACTCCAGATACCAACTGAATTGCATATTGCTGGACAGCTTTGTACCTCGTGTTATCCGCCGCGCCGTTGTCGCATTGCTCGATATGAATTTTATCGAATTTTAAATTTATTGCAACGCTAATTATTTTTTAGAATTAAGCATAAAGAAGTTCAAAAAATTGATAAACATTGTATTTTATGGTATTCTATGTACATACCCAGTTGTCAATATTTCTTAATTAATCGAACTTTTGTATATCAAGTTGGAGATTTTGAAAAAAGTTTTTGTCGGAAATGGTTGAGTTTAAGACCCATGTCATATAGGTTTTTTTTGTTTATTTTAATGTATTCTATCGTCTATTAAAATTAAGGCAGTTAAACTTCTAACACCGTGTATAATAAATACATGATGTGCGTATATTTCCAATACCTAAAAACGAAAGTGTAGGTTATTTTACTAACTAAGAAACGGGGAAACTATCATTGTTTTTAAGAAGGAAGAAAAATATTCTTTTTTAAAAAATTATGTTTTTCCAAAGTGGCAAGGTACGATGTGCCTAAATGAAGGTTAAAGAACATTAAATAAATTTATCTAGAATCTAAAGTAAAAATTATATAAAACAACACAAAAACAAACGAAACAATTTTTTTTTTATCGAAGAAAATGAACGAAAATAAATACTCTTAAAGCTTATCAATGCCTATGATTACACTATATTAATTGAATTCTTAGTAGTAGCATTCTCTATCTAAATATACGGTACAGATTCGCTAAAGGATATTGTCAAGTATCCTGTTGCCGTTGTTCGTCAACTTGAATCATTGTTTCAACTCTTCTATATTTAGGACTGGTCGTTTTAGGTAGGAAGTTGTCTGGCTTGGTATTTTTCCAATGGGATTTATTCCAGCAACTTCTTATAGAATAAGCTGTCTGATACTTATTTTTGAATATCCAATGTTTGTCAAACAAAAAAGTTGTATCAAAAAATAACTTCCCTCCAATGGTCAGAAATTTTCGAAAAATTATTGAGCAATTGCACAAGTATTAGTAGAAAATTTGTGTAAAATTAGACGATTACAACTTTTTTTTGCTTTTCAAATTACAACATCTTGTACATAAAAAAAAACCAACTGTTACGTTTCGAAGATATATATCAAACGTTTGTTTTTTAAATGGAAGACCCCGTATATTTTTCGCTTATCAGAATTATCTCCTTGTTCTGATTACAGCGATAGATACATGTCATATGTTTACTTTGACAGTTTGTATAAGATTTTGATTTATTTGATGATCTGACTAAACAGATCTTTAAATACATACATAAATTATAATTACATCATTGTGGTCCAGAGGAAGAACGTTCTTTTAAATAAAATTTTCTTATTTTTTTTTTTTGTGGAATTATACGTAAATACTTTTTGTTGATGGTTATTACTGTGACAGTCTTTGTCACGAACCAGAGGACCACATAATAAGTCATAGTTTTTAACAAGAAATCTCTCTTCTATTTGTATGCCAGGTCTTGTTTCTCTTAACAGACAACGTGGTAGACTGTCATGTCATGGTTTGCGAAAAGTAAAAAAAAAAGGACGACACTTATTTACGTGTCGTAAACTATACTATGGACTTAAAAACAGAAACAATCGTTTACGATTTCGCAAGCATCTTCCCGAGCAACAAACAGATTTCCAACGTGAAAACCTTCAACGAAAACCTCTTGACAATTTTCAACAAGTTCAAAGGAGGGATAGAAAAGGCGTTTTCTTTTGTCTACATGCAATATATGAACAATATTTTCTCGAAAGTACCCCTGAAGCAGATATTCTTGGACTATAGTAAGGAGTTTTAAGGCAGTTGTACAAGCAGAGACAAATCGTAGCGATTTTTCAATTAAATCAGAAAAATTTGCACAGATACATCTCTACGTGTATGGCTGCCCTTGTCAAATGTATACTTTATTTACAATGATTGTGTTGAAATTTTGTTTTTTTTTCTTTTAAATATACATAAAAAGAATAATGGGTCAGCTTATTTTTCTATATACTGTCGAATCAATGTTCTACAAAGATTTTGTGTCTTGTTAAATGTTAGAACCTGCTTCTGCAACAGTTTTATGACCCACATCAAGATTTGTGAATATTTCTAGTCTTTCATTTTTAGGATACAGGCCGTTAAAATAAAAACCCGCTAGATGGAAATCCTAAGGCCTGCCGTGAGTGTTTGGATAATTTATATGTATTAAATTATGCAAATAATAAGTCTTATCAATTTGTCCTCAACTACAGTCAGGGTCGGGTGTAGAACAGCTCAATCAGGGCCACCACAAAAATGGGACTCCGGAATTATAGTGATAAAAAATGTTTTCTCCTAGCATGTGCCCTTTCTTTATTTAAAAATAGCAGCAATGCAAATGATTCTAATACAGACAAGTCAATCACGTGTGACGAAATACTTATGCTCTACGAAAAATCAAAGAAAATGTATGATTTTACATAATGGTGTGTAATTTTTCTTGAGACAAAATAATATTTCGGTTGGGCTCGATCATTTCAAAAGTTTCAGACAAAAATTTTAGAGCACCGAGAGGGCCATTGAATGGTCCATATTACGACTTCCGGTCTACTCCGGAAGTGATGTTTTTAGACCGGAAGTTAATTTTTTTAATGGAAACACCCATTTTTTACTACGGACTTCGATTGAAAAACGAAAAAAAAAACTTTTTGTTCTTATCATTTCTTCGATTTAACCCACATTTTGGCCATATAACGGCCATAAAAAAACAAGAATCTTGAGACAACGGAGTACATTGTTGGGATCACTTTTTTAAAAAAATGTTTCATACAAAAGTTGTAGGGTGAAAATGGGGCTATCTTGACATGACCTTGAAAATGACCTTGACCTTGAGTTCAAGGTCGTTTGAAGATCAAATTAATTTAAATTTTTCGACCTTAAAATGATTTTGATATCTGCTTCTTGTTCTTGAGGTTAAGTTCATATCTTATTGTAAAACTTATTGTAATTTCTGAGGTCGTAAAAGAGGTTTTGAATATGATTTTCAAACGACCTTGAAGTCAAGGTCATGGTCATTATCAAGGTCATGTCAAGATAACCCCCATTTCACCTTACAACTTTTGTATGAAACATTTTTTTTTAAAGTAATCCTAACAAGGTATTCCGTTGTCTCGATTCTTGTTTTTTTTTTTTGTTTTTTTAGGCTATTTTATGGTCAAAATATTGGTTAACCCTAAAAAATAAAAAGAACAAAAAGTTTTTTTTTTGTTTTTCAATCGAAATCCGTGGTAAAAGTGGGTGTTTCCGTTAAACAAATCAACTTCCGGAGTAAAAACACAATATCCGGTCTAGACCGGAAGTCGTAATATGGACATTTCAATGACCCCTCGGTGCCCTATAATTTTTGTCTGAAACTTTTTTCGAAATAATCGAGTCCAACCGAGATATTACTTTGTCTCGAGATAAATGCCCCACCCAGTATAGACGATTTTATATTGTGGTAAATGTTTTTTGTTGTAAAGAATTTTGTTAGAGAAAATCTTCCTTTTTTTTTCTTTTCATCTAGTATTACTTATACCACTGGATGAGAATTGCCTTATTTAATTAAAAGCCTTAAATATTTGTTGCGCTGGGGCCCCATATTTTGAATCCGACCCTTAGTGCTAACAGCTCCATACTACGAGACAACTGGTGGTGATAAGATGATGTTAAAGTAGCAAGGTCGTAGAATTCAACAGAGAACTATTTTTCTGTCAGCATTTAAAAATTTAAAATAAATTAACTGACTGACTGATACAATGAAAACTTTTTTAATACTGCTGATTTACAACTTTACAACAGGCACATTTCTGTTACGAAAACTAAAGTAGTACTAAAACTGAACTAGCAGTGTTTCTATTTACTGCGATATAGAATAAAAAAATATACGACTTGTCATTTATCTCACAACTATTCGTCTCTTTTTATGTAGTATGTAGGTCGGGGATGTTTCCAGAGATTCCCAATAAGTTTTAACAATATAATAATTTTATTGATTTTAAACGCCTTTTCGCAGTTTTGAATATTTTGGTTACTTAAAACTTTCATCATTAATGCATTGTACATACCATTAAAAATTATGTAGAAGTTTAAATCTGAAAAGTAAAGGAAGTGTAACTGGTAGTTATACAAAGATATATCTTCCAGACAGAGAAACTCCAAGCACTTAAGGTTATTAAACTGCAGTTGTAAAACTTTTGTGGCGTACAATAAATTAAATCTTTCACTAGTTGCTAGTAGCTTTACTCTGGTATATCATACGAGTATACGACGTGTCATTCCTTCTCTACTCCAACAGTCCTGTATATGTTTTCAATACTATTTATGTTAAGTAAGGTTGGTATTTGTTTTGTTTTTACTTCTTTTTATGCATTGTGTATCGTTTAACACAAGATTAATTTAATAATAATAATAAAGTATGCCTTTGTAAGTGTAAATCTAAATAAAAAAATGTCTAAAAGTTATCATTTACTTGCAAATACGGACCTGACTATATAGATCAAAGGTCATTTAAGACTAGATACAAATTAGCGTTTATAGTACCAGTAACCAATATTAAGATAGGACTGTCACTCCTAGTGTCCGTGATGGTTTTAACGATATTACTGATATTCTCAATTGCTCTGGTGAGGAGCGCGTTTAGTTCGAATATTTTGATAGCATGTTCAATACCGTCGCCAAGTCACCAAATTTGGAATTATGCCTTTGCGGAGGGCCTAATGGAAAAAGGCCACAACATAACCATGGCAGGGCCAGATGCCCATATGCACAAACCGTCCGATAGGTACCATCCCATTGTTTTCGAAGGTGAGGCACTTTTTTAGAGATAAAAATGCGTGCATTTAAAAATAAAGGTAAAATTTCCTATGTGATTTTCAAAAATTCAGTACTATTGGAATTACACAGGGTGTTTCTCTTTTTCCAGTCATAACTTTGTTCCTTTGGTAAACACCACGTTTTCAAAATACAGGGTGTATAATTTTTGAAAATACAGCTTTCTTTTCTTTATTATTTACTAAACATATTTTTTGTTCAAATTTGGTTCACAGGAATCATAATAAAAGGCTAATATTTTGGCGGGAAAATTACTTTTGTGGTAAAAGTAGTAGCGCAACTAAGTGATTTTGTTCGCATTTGTACTCCATGAACTTCTACACCAATGATGAAAAGTATTTTTTCGGTAAAAATGTGAATACTTTAATAACTTTTCCGAAAAAAATATTCCCGGTAGGGGCGGTAGGTAATAACGATTAGAATACCCTAATTTTCAGATGTTTTCTAACTTGTTTAAAATATCTGCCTACCCAATGTTACTAGGTGTATTTTTTTGCAGAAAATAAATCGAAATTTTAATATATGCATTATTTCCTATTTTTTCCCCAGTTTCTTGTGTGGTCCAGGGATATGCAATTAAGTGGATTTTATTTTTTTTTCTCCAAAAACTAATCGATATGAAAAATATTCGAGTTGTATTTTTAGTTGGTTAATCCAATTAAATATAAAAATTACAAAAACGTCAGTAGCTTACATTTTTTTATCAAAAATATTAGTTAAGGTACCGGGACTCAACTGGACTTAATAAATCTAATCTAGTTAGGGTTAAATTAGCCCCTTAACACTACAAATAACACTGCCAAATTACAACAAAATTGGGTAAAGGATATTCAAGATATTTACGAACTAGCAATTTTTTTACAAAAAAAAAACACCTTGTATCTTCAAAACGAAGCATTTGCGGACCAATATGAACTTCTGTCTTAAAATCACTCAAATAATCATCTGTAGAATTTATTGTACTTAATTAACACCCTGTATATCGAGTTTTATTTAAGCCTCAACCAATTTTGTATTGTTTAAAAAAATGTTATTTGGGCAAAGCATATTTATCACCTTGCAACTTTTTTACTAAATTCATTTTCATAGGAAAGTCTTACTTCAAATTAATAGTTAAACTAAATTTTATGTATTTAAAGATGAATTAGCAAATTTTATTACAAATTAATCAAACAAATTAAAGCTAATTTGGTAGATTTAATTATGAACTGTAATCAAAGATTAGTCAAATTTTAATGTTTTATAATGTACAAAAAACTTACTTATTGCTTTATTTAGTTATAATAAATAAATAAGTGTTTTGAAATCCCTGACCCTAAATGTGATTTTTTTCTCGCAAACGTTTAATGTTATCGATATGGAATAAGAGAATACTGTTTGGAAAATTTATGATGCCAATCTTTAATATATGGTTAATGAATCTTTTTTAATACTGCAAATATACAAAATATGATCAATTTCCTATTCTTGCAAAACCATTGTTTTTGCATTTAGTAATATAAAGGTTAAACTACTACTATTCAGGAACTTTTTTTATTTTCTATAAAAATCATTCTGTTGCAGATATCGTAGTGAAGTTAATGGCATCGAAGAAGTTTGACTTCGAAGGCAGCACAGATCAAAGCGCCTTCCAATCGCTGATAGCATTGTATAACTACGAATACCTCTCTTGCAAGTTCTTGTACGAGTCAGACGGCTTCAAACAGATCCTAAATTACCCTAAAGATTACAAATTTGATCTCATCATCGTAGACATGACAGTGGGTCCCTGCTTGCATCCTCTTATTCAAAGGTTCAACTATCCTCCAACAATTGGAACCACAGCTTTTCTCTTGCCTCCAGATCTTTCCTTTTCCTTCGGCAATTACTTACCCCAGTCTTACCTGCCTCACTACCACTTGAGCTATTTTCAAAATATGACTTTTTCTGAACGCGTCATGAACTTCGTCGTGGCTAATTTTGAACTTGCTGTTAAGTACGTGTACGAAGCAAACCAGATTCAGAAATTAGCCTATAAGGCCTTTGGCGAAGGCATGGAGTCGGTGAGAGATTTAGAAAAGCACATTTCTCTGCTTCTGTGCAACTTGTCTCCTGCATTTCACTATCCACAGCCAATCACACCGAATATTATACCGGTGGGAGGGCTTCACGCTAGACCAGCTGGAAAGTTACCTCAGGTAAGAAAAAAGAGTTACACTTTGGCGGTTGTATTAGATTTCTTTTCTTACAAAAAGTAAGCTCTAACCATCTGAACTCTTTCTTGATTCCGATATATATGTTTTCTCATAATTACAGGGTGCATGCTTTTTATTAAAACCATATAATTTTATAAAAAAGTAGAACCGTTTTAAGATTGCCATTACGTCACGAGTGCGTCCTAATATCAAAGACAGTCGTTGCGGGGTGAATTAATTATTTGTTATACGCCAGAAAGAGATACAATGATGGCTAGCGTATTTAAAACAGAGTTGAGTCAGATTAAAATTTTAACAGTTGTTTTGATCGCATCTCAGTACCCAACTGTTGGATATATTCTGAGCGTTGAAATATCGATTTTTTTGCATATTTTCGTATCCAGTAACACCAGTATTAAAATTTGCGAGATATCCAAATTTGGGAATTGTCAAGATGACATTTCATTTATAAGCAAACAGTGACTAATTTGACTAGGATTTTTCGTCTTAGTTCATACGAATATTACTTGTGACGCAATGGAAAAGATACAGCGGTTTTAGTATAACTCTTATATACCAGGGCGGATCTGTCGAAATATCCCACTTCTCAGTACAGCTCACATAATAGTTTTCGCAAAATAATTTTCTGAAAAAAAAAAAAAAATGAAAAGTTAAATAAATTCCGTTTATTGGTTCTCGAGATATAAGCGGTCAAAGTTTATCGGCATTTACCATTAATTTATAAACAATTTAGCAATAATCTTTGATCCGGTGGTTTCGCTTTTCCGAGTTCTAAGGTGGAAAAAATTTTCATATCCATAAGTTGATAGATATATCAACATAGATAAATCATCGGAAAATGTCTCAAAACACGAAAAGTGGGGGAGGGGGCTTTCGCCCCGAGATTGAATTCGGTGGTTCAAAATGCGAAGGTACGAAAAAAATTGCATTATCTTAGCTACTGATAGATCAATTTCGTTTTTTTTTTTAATCTGATGTCTCGCGAGCCAAGGAATTCGAACATCGTAATGCCAACTGTCTAATTTGCACATATTTTGTTATAGGTAAAGTTATGTATTTATGCATTAACTATACTGTATATTTTACCCTATGCTATTATATTTTTTCAATGAAAGAATTTGTTTACGTATACAGGCTGTCCGGAAATATCGTTCGAATAATTCTAGCCATCTGAATTTTGGCATATGAATTGCCTTTAATAGTAGGTACTTTTCAGTATTTTTACTAAATTATTATTTTAATCAGGGGCGTAGCGACAGGGGAGGCCTCGATTTAATTTGTTCACATTTTATTAAACGTCATATTTTTGCAGTTTTCTTTAGAAATTCTGATTCCGCGGTATAAATGACATAAAAAAGGTATTCTTGTAGAAAACCTGTCAGGTATTGTTAAATAGTGATAAAAAAGAAACGGTAAATGGAAAACAGATTTATAATTAAAAAAAAAACAGGGAACAATACAGAAACAAATAATACTAGTGACTTATTATTAAACCTGAATGTTACTTCTTTAGTTACAGCAAGTGTTGGAAGTGATGTCCATTCATTTCAATGCAACTGGCTAAACGATTTCTCATTGAACGTTTAACTCGTTGAAAAACACCTTGCATATTCCGTATTTCTTGGCAACAATGAATGACTCTTTGTTCCAGTTGTTGTACACTGTCAACAGGCACTGAATAAACTAAGTGTTTTAAATAACCCCATAGAAAATAGTCTAACGGATTAAGATCCGGCGAACGGGGAGGCCAAGCTACGGGTCCACCTCGTCCAATCCACCGATCTGGATAAGTCTGATTTAGATATTGTCGAACTAATAAACTGAAGTGGGCTGGAGCCCCATCGTGCATAAAAAATGTTTCTAATCTTAATCCATAAGGCAAATCTTCGAGCAAAACTGGTAAAGTGTTTTGTAGAAAATGTAAGTATGCGGGCCCATCTAAACGATGCGGCATAACATATGGTCCTAGTAACCTATTTCCTATAATACCTGCCCAAACATTAATGGAAAACTTATCTTGGAATCGAGCTTCGAAAATCGCGTGAGGATTTTCATCTGACCAAATATGATTGTTATGAAAATTTACCACTCCTTCACGCGTAAATCCTGCCTCGTCTGTAAACAAGACTTTATCGAGGAAATGACGGTCCTGATGGCATTTCATCTGCATCCACTGACAAAACTCCACTCTAGGCAAAAAATCCCGAGGTTTTAGCGCTTGAATTCTTTGCAAATGGTATGGATACAAAAGTTCCTCGTGTAAAATTTCCCATACAACACTTTTGGGAATATTCGTTTGTACTGAAATTCTTCTGGTGCTACTACCTGGATTAGCTTCAATCTGTTGTAGAACAATTTCCTCTGTCTGCGCCGTTCGGGTAGTACGGTTTCGTCCACAATCTCTCTTATTTGGCGTAAAATTACCAGTTTCTCTTAATCTCTGATGTAAACTGCTGAACAGTTTATCAGAAGGAAGCTGGCGATTTGGAAAAGTTTCTTGGTACAACCTCCGAGCTTCCAAAGCACAACCGTTTGCTTTGCCATACATGAAGTGCATGTCGGCCATTTCAGCAAAAGAGTATTCCGGCATTTTTTGAAAGACGAGAACAATGATTTTTTTCAATTACACTGTTATTAACACAATAATAATCGAATAAACTTTATTTTTAAACCTTATGTCAAATTCGTTTACCGTAACTACAGTAATTTGACCTTTTTCCATTTTCAACTTAGCACCGACATAAGCCTACTTTGATGTAGAAATTTTTATTATTGGGCGACCATGCATGCACTATTTTCTTTGGAGAGTATTTTCTCGAAAACGGCTAGCCTGACAGGTTTTCTACAAGAATACCTTTTTTATGTCATTTATACCGCGGAATCAGAATTTCTAAAGAAAACTGCAAAAATATGACGTTTAATAAAAATGTGAACAAATTAAATCGAGGCCTCCCCTGTCGGTACGCCCCTGATTAAAATAATAATTTAGTAAAAACACTGAAAAGTACCTACTATTAAAGGCAATTCATATGCCAAAATTCAGATGGCTATCTGAAACGGTTCCAGAGATATAAAATAAAACCTATATCCCGGTGCAATCTTTGAATCGCCATAGCAACCTTATGACGCATTTGCGGACCTATGTTCATATGAACTTTTCTTTATAGTTTAACATGTAGAATCACCCCTAGAATTATTCGAACGGTATTTCCGGACACCCTGTATATTTCAGCACTCTGAATATGATTATATTTAGTTATAATTATTACAATTATTTAAATAATTTTTGTTTAAACAAATTAAAAAAGAAAATTATTTGGAAATTAATTTTTTTGTTAAATACTGATAAAATTAAGAAAAAATAGTACTTTAAAATTATAATTTAAAAAAAATAAATTGCAAATTGATAAATGTAATCTAATTGTTTAAAAATAAAAAAAAGGGTATTAAGTTTAAAAATTTACTGTGGCCGTCCTAATCAACCAATTTCAGTTTTTCTAAAACCATTTAAAAGGTTCAGCGGTCTTTTCTATGTGAAGAAATTTTCAAGTATCTAGATGCTTTATTTGAGACTGCAACATTTGGAAAATTCGAAAAAAATTTTTCAGTATTTTTTTCAGAAATTTATTTTGCGAAAACTATAGAACCGATTTTAATGAAATTTGATATGTTGTTTTATTATACTATAAAGTTTTTTTTACCAAAATTTGAATGCCCTCGGAGCAATTAAAATATTTTTAAAAAATTATCCAAAACACTTGATTTTTTTCATCAATTATTGCTATTTTGCAACATCGGTAATAAATGTAAATATTTTTAACTTTCAGTACATTGTGCAAAATTCAATTCTAAAACTTTTTTTCCTCTTCAATATTCTTCCAAAATGCGTAAGTTCCAAGTAAAAGAATAGGTATTTTTTAAATTCTTTTAAACATTTTTGCAATTTTGAAAATGTTCCAGGCTTCGCCCAGATCTAGGGATCTACACTTTTATTATGTGAGTTGTACTGAAGGTAATCCAGAAAAAAATTGCTTGCCCCCTCTCACATCCACCTCAAAACAGATCCGCCCCGGTCTATTAACCTGTTTTAACTTTCCTAAATGCGTTCCTGTGCTCTTTTTGAACAGCCGTGGCTATGTGCATTTGTTTTCTTTGTTGTAGTCTGAGGTCATTCACATTGAGATTCACAAACTAAATACAGTGCTTTAAAGAAATAGTAACCAATACTTTTTATTAAAAACGAAATAAAAGAATAAACATTTTATTTCAGTTAAGCTTCTGAAAAACTGCTGTTAAAAGAATATTATTATTTGGATAGACCTAGAATTTATAGCCAGATTCTTTTTCTGAATTTTGTACTACAACAATTATTATTGTAGTAAATAGCACTTTATTTATTCAACCTTTGGAGGCGTAAATAATTTGCACGAAAGAGTGTGATTATTACTGAATATTTCAGGATATCCAAGAAATCATGGATAAATCTACAAATGGGGTTATTATAATGGCTCTAGGAACGAACGTAAGGTCAGACAAACTACGAAAATTAAAAGTAGAAGCCATTTTAGGCGCTTTAAGTAAATTGAAACAAACAGTGTTGTGGAAGTTCGAAAGTGACTTTGATAACTTACCAAAGAATGTTATTATTAGAAAATTCCTGCCGCAGAACGATATTTTAGGTAAGGAAAAATATCGACAGCGTCGTTAAAACTTTCTTCAAATATATTTTGCTTTTTTTAGCGCACCCAAACACGAAATTGTTTATTAGTCACGGAGGCGGTTTGAGCACGTTGGAAACCGCTTACCACGGAGTGCCAATCCTCGGAATACCATTTTTTATCGACCAGTTTATGTTAACGAACGCCATGGTGGAGAAGGGAGTAGGTCTTAAACTAGAACTTTCTGATGTCACGACGGAAAGTTTGTTGAATGCCATAAACGAACTACTACAGAATAAAAAGTAAGTACAAAACAGCCGAAGCTTTATATTTTAATTATCCCTGATTATTTCCAGATACTCTCGAAACATCAAAGAAATCTCGTATCGAATGAAAGACCAGTTGTCGACTCCCTTGCAGACGGCTGTGTTTTGGGCAGAATACGCCATCCGTCACAACGGCTCTCATCACTTAAGCCCCAAATCGAGACACTTGCCTCTCTTCGTATCTACCTCAGCTGATGTCATCTTATTTTTATTACTGATATTTGCGCTCTCGCTCGGCGTACTGGTTTTTTCGGTTCGGTTTTTATATAAATTTCTTTATAGCAAACCTGGAAAAGAAAAATTAAACTAACAATAAGATAAAAAAGATGTATGCCGCAAGTTACTGGTATACTTTTAGTAGTATATTAAAGTACCTAATGAGGGTATAGTTAAATTTATACAGGGTTTGGCTGATTGAGTAATCATAAATGAACAAAAAAGTTGTATATTACAAGAGCGGTAAGATTAACAGTTTTCAAAATACAACGAGTATTAATATTGGAGAGTTTCGTCACAACGTGACAACAGCGCTTAACCTAACGCTACACAGCTGGTGTGCACGCAATAGACTTGTCCTATGGAAAAAATGTAAACAACTATTATTGTGAAACATTTAGTAAATTTCAAGACAATTGTTTTCCAGTTTTTAAATAAATAAAATAATGTGTATCGATTTTGTAGTAAGAAGATAGTGCTTAAATTTTAGCTCGAATTTTAGTAATTAAGAATCTCTTAAAACAAGAACTTTACTTTTAATCAAATTATGAATTTGAAAAGTATGTACTTAATTAAAGTACCCAAAGATTCACGTCGTCCAAATAATCAGACGTATTAAAAATAATTTAGGTACTTACCAAAAAGCAAAATTCAGTAATTTTCAAACGCACAAGTACAAAACAAACTACAGCATATGCTTAAAATGTCCACCACCATTTTCGATGCACTCACGACACCTTCGAATCCAATTTTCGCGCACTCGCTGGAAAACACCTGAACAAAAGGAAATAGTGGTCGCAAAAAACACTCGGACACGGTCCAATTCCAGATACCAACTGATTTGCGTATTGCTGGACAGCTTAGTATCTAGTGTTATCCGCCGCGCCGTTGTCACTTTGCCCGATATGAATTTTATCTAATTTTAAATATATTACAACGCTAATTACACAGGCCTACAAAATTTTACGAAAGTCCAGAACCAGAGACCGGATTTAGTGTACCCGAAGGATTTTGGTACGCTGATTACGAATCCGAGCTCAGAATTGGTCCATCACCCTAAGTTTTCGAGATATTCTAACTAAAAGTGCAAAAATCGCGGTTTTTCGCTATATTCGGGGTCAGATTACAACGTGAATTTTTTTTTCTAAAATCGCATTAAACCATCTCAAAGTACCACTCTTACCCTTCTAAGCGCACTTCGATTATTTGGAAATCTTTTTTTTTCCATAGAGATATGATAGATTGAAGTTTAGTACTTCAGCGATTTCGTTACAACATGGAAATAAACAAAATTTATCCAAAAATGAGATATAAAGTACTTATATGTTTCTTGAGTCGCTGTTTTTGAAAACACTGGCGGACTTGCTCCATAACCTCAATATTTCAAGATTTTCCAACCTAAAATTGAGTACTATATGAAACAGATACTGATGTATACATGCTGTTACATTCGGATGCTAAGCTCACTTTTAGGTTAGAATATCTCGAGAACCTAGGGTGATGGACCAATTCTGAGCTCGGAATCGTAATCAGCGCACCAAAATCCTTCGGGTACACTAGTTCCGGTTTCTGGTTCTGAAAATTGTCGGCCTGTGTTATTTTTTAGATTAAAAAAGTTCAAAAAAGTGATAAACATATGTATTCTATGGTATTCTATGCACGCATTTACGTTAATATTCCTTAATTAATTGAATTTTTGTACATCATGTTGGAGATTTTGAGAATTTTTTTCTCGAAAATGGTTGAGTTTAGAACCCATGTCATATAAGGTTTTTTTGTTTATTTTAATGTACCTATTCTATGGTTTGGCAAAATTAAGGCAGTCAAATTTCTAACACCCTGTTTACATAAAAAAATAATCCTTGTTTTTCTATTTACTGTCGAATCAATATTCAAGATTTTGTATCTTGTTAAATGCTACAACAGCGTTATGACCTTCATCTGGTTTTGTGAATATTTATCCATTTTTAAGATACAGGTAACTGGTCGTTAAAGAAAAAAAAACCGCCAGATGGAAACCCTAAGTATGCCTCCCGTGATTGTTTGAATAATTTGTATGTATAAAATTACATAAATAAGTGGATATTATGCACTTCTTATCAATTTGTCCTTAACTATAGTCAGGGTCGGCTGCAGAACAGCTCAATCGAGGCCACCACAAAAATGGGACTTTTTATATTTTCTCCAAGTCTGTGCACTTTCTCTATTTAAAAATAGCAGCAATACAAATGATTCTAATACAGACAAGTCAATCACGTATAACGATCATGCTGTACGAAAAATCAAAGAAAATTTTTGACTTTGCATATACAGGGTGATTCAGAAATGTTAAACAAAAATTTTATAAGATCCCCTTAAGATCCACCAAAGAATACCAGGTTTCATTTTTGCTCACCATTTGTGAATCACTCTGTATAGACGATTTTATATTAAAAATTTTTTATTATAAAGAATTTTGTTAGAGAAAATCTTCCTTTTTTTACTTTTCATCTAATATTACTTGTACCACTGGATGAGAATTGCCATATTTAATTAAATGCCTTAAATATTTCTTGCGCTGGGGCCCCATATTTTAAATCCTACCCTTAGTGCTAACAGTTCCATATTACGAGACACTAAGATGTAAATGCAATATTTGGATATAGTCAAAAGCATCGCTTATATACAGTTATTACAAAACTGATGGCGATAAGATGATGTTAAAGTAGCAAGGTCGTAGAATTCAACAGAGATATTTTTCTGTTAGCGTTTACAAATTTCAAATTAAATAATTGACTTACCACATTAATACGATGAAAACTTTTTTGTACTGCTGATTTACAACTTCACAACAGGCACATTTTTGTAACGAAAACTAAAGTAGTACTAAAACTAAACTAGCAGTGTTTCTATTTACTACGAAAAACGGGACAAAAAAATACACAACTTGTCATTTATCGTCACAACTATTCATCTCTTTTTATGTAGCGTGTAGGTCGGGGATGATTCCAGAGGTTCCCAATAAGTTTTAACAATATAATAATTTTATTGATTTTAAACGCTTTTTTGCAATTTTGACTATTTCGGTTATTTAAAACGCTTATCATTAATGTATTGTACATACCATTAAAAACTATTTATCAGTTTAAATCTGAAAAATGGACGAAGGGTAATTGGTAGTTATGCAAAGATGTATCTTCCAGACAGAGAAACTACGAGCATTTAAGGTTATTACACTGCAGTTGTAAAACTTTTGTAGCGTACAATAATTAAATCAAATTTCACTAGTTGCTTTCTGATATGTCATACGAGAATACGACGTGTCATTCCTTCTCTACTCCAGTAATCCTGCATATGTTTCCAACCTATTTATGTTAAGTAAGGTCGGTATTTGTTTTGTTTTTACTTCTTTTTATGCATTGTGTATACGTTTAAAACAAAATTAATTTAATAATAATAATTGTCGTTGAACTCGAACTTTTACGAAACACTGAAAAGTATGATTTTGTAAGTGTAAATCTAAATAAAAAAATTACTAAAAGTTATCATTTAATTGCAAATACGGACCTGACGCTATATTCAAAGGTCATTGAGGACTAGATACAAATAAACGTTTATAGTGCTAGTAACAAATATTAAGATAGGATTGTCACTCCTATTGTCCGTGATGGTTTTAACGATATTACTGATATTCTCAGTTGCTCTGGTGAAGAGCGCCTTAAGTTCGAATATTCTGATAGCATGTCCATTACCGTCACCAAGTCACCAAATTTGGAACTATGCCTTTGCGGAGGGCCTAATGGAAAAAGGCCATAACATAACCATGGCGGGGCCAAGTGCCCGTATGCACAAACCGTCCGATAGGTACCATCCCATTGTTTTTGAAGGTGAGGCATTTTTCTAGAGTTAAAAAATGTGTGCAGGAAACAAAATTATAGGCTGTAATGTAAAACCGATTCTTTAAAAATAGTGGTACAATTTTCTGTTATTTTCTAAAATTCAGTATTTTCGGAATTATACAGGGTGTTCCCCTTTTCCAGGTCACAACTTCGTTAAAGGATGGTGCATGAAAAATTTATTTGTAGCATTTCTTCTTTCTTCTAACAATTTTCTCTAAAACACTACGTTTTCGAAATGCAGCGTGTTTATTTTTTGAAAATATAATTTTGTTTTTTTATTAACCACTAAACAAATATGTAATTTATTTTTTTTTTTTCATATTTGGTTCAAAGCGATCATAATAAAGGGCTAATATTTTTGCAAGGAAAAACTCTTCAACTAAATCTAGAGGCGCAATTAAATGATTTTCTTCGCATTTGAACCCCCTAAACTTCTGCGCCGATAGTGAAAAGTATTTTTTCGATAAAAATATGAAAACTTCCAACAGATTTTTTGAAAAATATGCTCCCAGTTATTAATGTATTGCATTAATTTTCTTAACACATGCAATTTTTTCAAACTGCTGCTATTATCATACTATTAGTATTAAGAATAATAATAATAATATCTCTTCTCCTCATTCTATTCGCAAGGATTAGCCCAGAAGTCGAAGACTTGTGTGGGAGGGGGGGCGGCATATTATTAATCAGTAGACCTCATGTGCGTTCATGCAGTGTAGGAATGGGAAACCTGGAAAACCTTATTAATCAGGGGATGGTCAAACGCCGACTAGTATCTTTCACATTGACCCAGGCCAATTTTCTTCCGCTCTTAGGTCAGGGAAAAGAGCTGGGAAATGACAATTTCACGACGTTTTGTTTTGGCAAGCTGAATGTATCACTATAGATGCTAAATATTATGTACAATAACATATTAGTTTCCACAGTCATAAAAATTGGGGAAGATTGTTTACAGGGTGGTCAATTGTATAATTTTTACGTAAATTCACGTTTTTCGCTTATAACTTTTTTCCGTTCAATACCACAAGAAAACAGTACAGTACTTTTTTTCGTCTTCAAAAGACCTACAAAACTAGCTCTCGAGCGTCAAAAAATATTGATTAGATCAAAATTTATAAACAGAAGAAGTTTATTTATGGCTTTTGAATTAAACATTTATGAACTGCGTTATTATTACCAGAACGTTTTGGCATCGCATCCTCTCATTCCTTATCTCTGTCTAATAACTAATTAGTTAATTTTTTTATAAGGCCATAACTTGTAAACTATTCAACTTACCGATTCCAGATTTCGTGTGAGTTATTAGACAGTGATAAGGAATGAGATGATGCGATGCCAAAACGTTCTGGTAATAATAAGGCAGTTCATAAAT